CCTTTCACAGGATTGTGTTATCAAAATTTTCAAGTTTCCGGAAGAGAAAGATATAATCCATGAAACAGTACATAAACATTTTCCTTTTTTATCATATACTAATTCGAATGCATGGTACCGAGATGTTTTTAAATATATAGATTCAGAAGCTAAATGCCCTGTATGCAAAGAGGTACATAAACTTTTAGGTATATGGGTGATTGGAGCTGTCTTGGTAAAAATGATCATTATTATCTTAATTGTCCTTTTTGCATTGATCAAAAGAAAGTTATAATCGCTATACAGAACTTACCAGAAATTCAAGTAAGTGTACCAAACAAAATCAGTAACTCACTAATTCATCCAAACAAAACCCACCTTTATCAATATGCCATCGAATATGAAATGGATCCCGAAAAATTTTCAGTCATTACTGAGGCTGAGAAAAAAAGATGGACCATGGGATGCTTCCGTGGTGACCTGGAGAGAGATATACGCTGTTATTGTGGAGGAATAAAAAAGAATGAAGATACTAGAAAATACCATAAATTTTTAACAGATTGGGAAAGACTGACTAGCGAAGAGTTATTACGTCATGGTATACTAAAGAGTTGTTTAAGTACTGCATGGCTCGATGATCTTATGGAAGAATGGGAAAAAACTTATAATCAATTCGTACAAATTTTTAACTAGACACAATGCATAAATCAGCGGAGTCAAGGTGTCATTTTCCCGCAATCACATGGGGTTGCTCCCTTGGGGCTCTATGTCACACATGCGAATTCACACTCAATTATTGTCACTTACAAAACACGAAACACGAATTAAAATAGGGTCAAAGACCATTACAAGGTAATAACAAATAATTGATAACTTTATTGATAATAATTGTATAGCAGAACTAGTATCTCTGACACATATTTCAACGTTATTTTTTACGTTACATTACACTGTAAAAGGCCGGCCTTGTAAAATTATTCATGGAGTAGGAACAAAGAGGGAGGAACATCTCGAGCCCTAACCCATAAAATGAGAGTTCCTTTCCCTACCCCACACTAGCTATCATTATTATAATCATCTTCTCCCTCCTTCTCACTTTCCAGTTCACTATCTATTTCACCCTTCTGCTTGGACACCCATAATTTTAATGAATCCAGTGTATCCTCTTTCAGATTTTTTGTTAATTTTTTATGAAAATTTCTAACGGTTGTGTCACTGATTGCTACACCCTTCTTATGCTTAATTACGAGCTCACGAATTTCCTTAACAACCTTGGGGTACAACCTTGCCATGGACCGTTTTTCAGTACATTTTTTCTCGTTGAATAATGTATCAATTTCTTCCCACAGTTCGAAAATGGTACCAGTATAATTTTGAGGTGATCTGAACATATCGGATCCCGCGTTACTACTTCTTGCACCCCCATTCTGAACTTCACGAATATCATAGCCGAGGAGTCTTACGGTTTCAGATAATTCAGAGATACTTTTTTGTTACTTCTTTAGCGCTGAAGTCATTTTTGCGTTAAATTGTTTTTCGGCGTTCCCAGAATTGTATCTGGTTAGGAAGTAGAGAAATATCATTTGAACTAGCATTAAGGTGGCAAGTAGTAAAAAATCAGAAGCAATCGAGAACATTTTAATAAGGTCTGCACGATTTGTGATTCGATTATATTGTAAAGAAACTAACACGACAAAGATTTTGTAATTATAGATTATGATTCCTGTTTGGGAATTATGTGGACCAGTAGCTAAAAAATTATGTTTTTTTACTTGGAGATTATGTGTTAATGCTGTTTGGAATTACGCACGTTTTCACGTTCTAAACGATTACTTTGTATCTTAGGACCAGACCCACTGAGACAATACATATTTTTATACGTCAAGTCTCGACATCAGATATCCATGGCATTGGTTCTTTATTTTTCGTACTAAATCGAACTAATAAA